TAACGCTATTTCAACAGTTCCATGTATGATAGTTATAAACGTGGTACACCAGTATTCTAAAGTGTGAGATTAAGGTGAGAATTGCATATTTTCCAGGAAAGTCAAAACATAATCATTTCTAAATCTATTAATTAGGCTGTTTAACCACTACTATAAAATCATAGGAATCATTCTAGCACTTATAGAACATTCACATATAAATTTGAAAATTGTATCATTTCTTTTAACTGGATAACTAAGTCTACACAACAGAAGATAGTTGTCTCGATTGTCAAGATCTGTGGTTAAACAAATAAGGATGATGTCTGGTTGAACTAGTCTTTTCAAACGTACACACGTGACAATAACACCATAACATCAAACGTTGGACTTTAAAAGAGACTGAAAGATTTGATAATTTCTAATCTGACACAAGTGAATTATAGGATTTAGGATAATTCTTTAACAAGGTAGGACTGTGTGTGTAGATGCCATGTATTTTAAGGCTTTATTTTAACATGTTTTAAACATATGTCTTAAAAATATGCAATTCTCGCTTTAAAATATAGCTTAACAGTATCAGGTTTGATGAGTAAATATGGTATAATAGAATACAAGACAAATATTGAAATACAACGATAAAACACGTGATATAGTTGAATATACGGAAGATATAAAAGTACGACGCCTGATGATTAAAATGTGTTACGAGAGAATAATAGGCTGATATAGCAGTACAAGCTGGAGGGGGTATAACACAATATTATACGGCTAATAGCAGGAAACCGCGTTTGCGTACCTCGAATTGTCAAAATGTTCTCCGTTATGGCGGTATATTAGATTCAAAATTCTAACGTGCTTTCGTCTAACTTCTAACTTCTGTTCATGTAATTTTTAACTTCTATTCATGTAATTTCTAAATTAAGACAATGTATAATCCAAATAAAATTCGCCAAATCTTGCACTTGTCTTTAAAAAAATTAACAAATGTTGTTTAGCTTATATTTGAAATAGAAAATGAAATGAAATGAAATGGGGTTTAACGTCCTACTGTTCTGTTCCGAACTGGGCTAATGAAGACGGGCATACGCTATACAGTGTGCTATGAAGGCAATTTTGCCCGGACAGCGGCACTACGGCCTACTCTTATTTCGAATTCTAACTGTCAAGGGATCTTTTACGTGCACGATCCGAACGACTAGACCGCTGTACTTTTCAGGCCCTCAGTCCTGCATCACTGACAAGGGGGAACCACGCCGGAGAATCTGGATGAACTTTCTCGGCCAATGCAGGGATCGAACACCCGGCCTCCAGGCTAGCGAGCCAGCGTCTTACCCACCGTATTTGAAATAGTATTTGCAAACCATATATTATTATATATATCACGTTCAATGTTGCACGTGCGCGCTGTATCATAAGGTCTGCCATTGAGTCAACTGGTGTGGTTTCGATTTCCCGGTTGTACGTGACAAGGAATACACTGTAAAAAGTTTATGTGACAAAACACGAAATTACTGTGAAATAATACAAATTCACTTGTTAAAAAACATTGCGATGTAAATTTCCGCGATTATCCTGTTTTTTAACATTTTCGTGAAATTTCAACTTTTAACAGTCGTTAAAGTGTTAATTAACAGTAACTTAATGTGAAATAACAAGTTTGCTGTAATTTCACAGAAGGCTGTACTTTTACATGGAGAGGTAGATCTTTAGTCGATATGACAATTTAGTAGGCCCTATCTATTGTGCCTTTACCACGCAAAATAACCAAACAGGGAGGATCATAACGGTTTCTCACGAGAATATTTTTAAAGTATGCCAGGATCAAGCAATTATACTTTTATAAAATGTCAATACAATTAGAATGACTGGAAGTTAGAACATATTGACTTTTGACTAAATTCCCCCTTGGAATTTTTATCATACCTATAATATGTATGCACAAATAAAAATGACGGCAGTTCGGGCTTTTGAATAATACTCTGACCATAGAAAAGAGGGACATATTACAAATGATACTTAATTTGCAATGAATGGCGGCAACAGGGAAAGGGGGGGGGGTGTAGGAAAAATGTCACCGAAAAAAATAGCACCGGAAGACATGGCACCTGGAAAAAATGTCACCCGAAAAATAAAATAGAATCAAAAAAACATTGGATACAGAGATAAGTAATCGAGAGAGTCACGCCTGGCGGCGTTCCTACTCACTGTTATGTATGTATACACCCTTTTTCCGGTTGCGGCATTTTTCCGAATGCCATTTTTTCCGGGTGCCATTTTTTCCATATCATTTTTTTCCGGTGTCATTTTTCCGTACCCCATGAGTGGGGTGTTGTACATGAGCGTTGTACCGATTTTTTGGCTCAAAAACCCCAAAAGGGGACGATTTTCAGGCGTTGTACCGACTGTGTACCCCCACCCCCTCCCCGGGCCTCCCAACCTCAAACCCTCCAGTTGGCGACGCCCATGCTTCAGCCAAAAATAACAATGACGCAATCTAGTGGTCGTGCAAGTTCGCAACACGTGACTGAATTTCACGACATGAATTAGTCAACGTTAACGAGTGAAACTCATCTGAATATCAAAATCAGCTGTAGTTTTACACCTTATTTGATTCCTAAATAGATCAATAAATATAGCTTACTCATACTGCCGATAGAAATAAATAATCGGAATTTTTCGTTTTGCAGCCTTGACGCGACCATTTAACGGCAACCGTCTATTCGCGCCATTTCGCTAACATGGCCATAACCCAACTGTAAACATCAACATCAAATTCACAGTACCAGAGTAACCAGAATTACCTACCAGTCGGTAAGTCGTCCAAGCATAAGAATTTGATTGACGACGAATTCCTCTGAGCCTCTCACTTACATAAATTAGAACTGCTAGTGCCTGTCTGTATACTACAGAGTTGTCTTTGACTCTTTCCCCATCCCTCAAGATTTTTGAACGAAGACCGCATGGCAGATGGCTGACGCCATAATGATGATGAGGCAAGACCAGTTGGAATTGAATAGAAATAGTGTTTTAAATGTCCTATTTTTCTCTACCTTATGGGCTGGTGAAAACGGCTATATTAAATTTATATACGTACTGTAGAGGGTTCACATGAAATTTTTAGGGGCGTCAATATTTGTCAGTCTACAAACAGTCCAGACTGATGACACCCATTTTAGATTAACATTGCAATATGGTGGACTTGAGACTGCCTGCTGTTTGAAAAAAAAATATTATAAAATGGTAGGCCTACATAAGTTTTGTTATATACCGGTAGGCCCTACTCACATTTCGTACAAAAAATAAATAAAGTTTGAGTACGAAAAAAAGGTGGTATCAAGAATGTAAGTGGTATGAAATTATCCGTTTGCCATGTCAGCCGGCAAATTGTCACCCCAAAATTGGCAAATACCTCTAAAAGTAACTGAAATCTACACCAACTGTTTAGACCTTTTCCTTTTGTTATTATTTTGACTATTGATAGATGAATTTCAAACTTGAAATTTCAATATTTAAAAAAATTTGTTCTATAAACTGGTTTAACCCTTTCGGTCCTGAATTGTTTAAAACCAATGCAAGCTCCCGACCTGAATTAATTTTAGAATTGAGACCTAAAAATTTCAAATGAAACTTTAATACAGAAGCAATGATGCAAACCCCAAACATGAATTGAATTTATTTTAGCATTTAGTCTGATTTTTCAGAAAATGTAATTTGTTTTCATATTTACTCCCTTGAAGCCCGGTTGAACGGACCGGACCTCCACATTTTTCGCAAAAAGAGTAGCTGTGAATCTGTGGACTGTGCACCCATTACGCAGGATCAACAAGGTCTAGTACAGAGTTATTTATGACAAAATTACCGTCTGTTTATACTTCAAAATCCTTGTTATCCGATTCATTATCCATAATAATTTCACCCAAGTTTTCCTCTAGAGTCATGTACGCCATTGACGTAACGTCATCATAAACAATGCAGAAAATTCGAAGTTTTTAAACTGAAGTTTGCAAGTTAATTTTTCTTAATCTCGATAACTATAAATAGAACATAATATGTCGACCGGAAACAGGAGAAGCCAAGCTTGCTTACATAAATCATGGACTCAAATCATGAAAAAACAAAGGTTTTGTACAAGAGGGGTCATATCGATCTGGTTGCGAGAGAGGTTTTTGCGTCTGGTCCAAGAGAGTTAAATTGTTGTGAGGTTGATGGATTTCCAGTCTCAAGAATAATTGTGATATTGACATCCAGTCTTTTCGAAATTGAAAACGGCTAACTTGCAGAACAACTTTCTTTAAATATTGAAGTTAGGAAATTTTAATTTTGAAAATCATCTATCAACAGTCAAAGTAATAACAATTTTAAGGTCAAATCAGTTTTTGTAGATATCACTTACCTTTAGAAATATTTGCCAATTTTAGGGTGACACTTTGAAAAAATCAGACAATAAATAATGACTCTATGAGGCTAAATTCTTCTTTTTGATTTCTAGTCTCGGGACTGAAAATAAATTTCGGCCATTCCCAAAATATAGTGGTCGAAATCCGAGGAGATTTCTGTAATTAGAGGGGTGCTGACTTCAATCTGGTCCCCCCTCATCCTCATGAGGGCTTGTATGGAAAAACGTTCTAGTCCATTGGAGGGTGAACAGGGTAGGCATGTGCCGATGCCCTGGCGAAATTCATCCTCATTGCACATGCTTGGCAAATGTCCGTCTCTAAAAAGCTTTACAGTGCATAAAAATGGGGCGTTAAACTCCATTTCATTTCTATTTATAGACCTAATTACCCCCCCTTTAAGATATACTCTCTACATTAATTATGTCCCAAATCAAATATGACAGTCACAAAACCACAGAGATATATGGTACTAACACGAACCACAGATTTATATACCGTTTTATGCCATTATAGATATAAGATCCAGGGAATACTCTCGATTATCAAGACCATGCAAAAAAATAATGTCCCACACTATTCAACTTCGTGTTTAATCGTGAAGTTACCTATCGAGATCTCGGAAAGGTCAAAGGTCAGGTGAACCATTTCTGATACGAAGTTAGACCGCAACACACACAAATAGTTTCGTAAATATAGTTCACTTTCAATGGACGTCGATGAAAAGTTACTTTCTTACAAAAATTCAGGGGTTGGCAGTAGGGATTACTTGGATATGTTTTCTTGAGGTAAATTATAAGTAAATCTGATATGTACTATATATGTAGATCATTTGTGGCATTTTGTTTCCCGAGTTATTGCCCTCCGGAAGTTTGCATCAAAGCTACCTACACAAACGACAAATCTAGCAATTGAGAGTTAAAGATTTTGTTTTGTTACTTTTTAGTGATGGATGAAGTTATTACTTTCGTCGAGAAACTAATTCCTGATATATCTCAAACCCAGTTCAGTCTTTTAAGGTCTAGATTTGAAGACATAGGCATCTCAACTATTGAAAACTTAACATACTTGAATGTTGAGGATTTGACAGACATTTTGAAACTTGTTCCTGCGAGACGATTTATAGCTGAGGTTAAAAGGAGGCTTAATATTGGTAGGTATTAATGTTGTATTTTTTATGTAAAAGCAGGTCTGACTCCCCACTCTCATACTCTAATCACAAAATGCAGTAATATATTCTTTGCACCAGTATCCTTTCATCCAATTTTTACATACAACCAATTTGCATGAGAAATTGTGTACCAGTACTTAGATATAGACTTACATGTTTTAGTGTGACAGGCGTAAGTAAATACGTAATTCAATAATCACATTTGTGTCGCTAATAGTAAACAGAGGCCTTAGTAGGGTCAAAAGTAGTACTCACATGCCTATAGTAGCAAAATGCGACTGAAAATCAAGTTGGGCTGAAATTCCTTAACCGACCTGATAATAATATTAACATTAACCATATTTGGAAACCTTAATTTTCTAATTCCTAAATGGGAGTCGCGGTGGCTCAGTGAGTATGGGGCTTGCTTGCTAACCAGGAGATCGTGGGTTTGATCCCCGTCGGGGAAAGATCATCTAGATTTTCCAATCTGGCTTCCCCTTGTCAGTGGTGCAGACCCAAGTGGCAAGAAATAGCACCTAGTCGTTCGGATGGGACAAAAAACCGAGGTCCTGTGTGCTGCATAAGGGTGCACGTTAAATAACCCAGACAGTTGGAAATCGACTAAAGAGTAGGCGAGTACGAGTTATCGCCGGCTGTCCTGGCAAAATTTCCCTCATTGCACCCTGCATGGCATTGCCGTCTTCATTAGCCAATTAAATAAGTGCATAAAAGTAGGACGTTAAATTTTATTTCCAATTCATGAATGTCTTTTTGTCATGATCATGAGCGTACAAGGCTGTGGGACTGCAGCTCCCATGTCAAGTTGGCGAAACTCCATTACATCTGTGTACTAATCACATTCAAGAAATTACAGCCTTTACAAGGATGATTTACGGTATTCTAGCTTATAGAGTGCACTGAATCATTCAGGTCATGACCTGTTTATTGTCTGTCTGTCCATTGAAATAAAACATGCATACTGTATCTGTACAGTTAATAGCATGCAGGTCAAGCTCTCATCAAATAGTCAGATTAATACCCCCAATTACAAATTTTCTTTCTGTCTTTCAGCTGATGTTGGAAACTTGTCATCAGCCTCTGCAGAAAGTACTTATCAAACAGACCACAGTACATCAACATGGTTGTTGAATTCTTCTGCCACTGGCTGTGCAAGTAGTGCCAGTAGTTCTTTTTCTGATGACACAAGATCTGGTTCTCCATCAATTACACAATTATGGTCTCAGTCTTTTAATATTCCTTGGGAAAAGTTTTCCAAATCTTTTTTGGAAGATTGCGAAAAGAAAAAAAGACCTGATGAATCAATGCGTCGTGAGGCAATACGAATATTATGCCAAAGTATGAGAGAAGTATGTACAAAACCAAACTCCAAAGACATTCATGTGATCGCGGCAAAATTTGTAAATGAATACAAAGAATCATTGGGAGATATGATAATGGGAAAGATGATCGGTAATGGGTACTCCAGTGTCCTGTCTAGTATGACTGAACGTCTCAACAATTTGAATCGAAAAACAAGCAATGGGCCCAGCATTGAATATGATTCCAGTAAAGTGTCTTCGCAAAAGTATGGCTGTCTGTCAACATGGAGCATAGACATCGACTCTGAGGAAGAACAGGGTATGGTCGAAAAACGTGATTGGATGAAAAATGAATTTATGAAATCGAAAAATACTAGTTGCTTAAGCACGATCACAGAATACATGAAAGAAACCTATCCTCTTCAAAGAAAAACTATAAATACTGGTAGTACTGATGATGTACGGAAAGATTTCCCTTATTTGTTTGAAAAACAATTTATGGCTGTGCATTTTGAAAGACTCACGGGACACTCCTTGGATAATTATAAAAAGTCGGAGAAGAAGAAGTTTTCAGTTATTCATTTTTTACGAAAAGAAAAGTCTCCAGTCTTGAGAAAAGCAATTGCTGATATGGATTTTTACGTGAAAGAGACAAATCATCACATAAAGTTAATTGCGTTTGTAAAGTTATTGATGGTGTCTTTTAAGGAAGATGGCCTTTTGGAATTTTATCAGGTGTGTTAAATTTTATTTTGTGCATCCGTATGAATTCGGTGGAATTATGAATTATTTTTTTTGAAGTATAGCTACTGTGTGGGCATATCTTTAAATTATATATATCGTCAGTGAAGAGTCAAAAGGTCGTATATCAATAATTTGGTAAAAACTTTTTATTACATTTATGAATTCAAAATCAGAAGGCGCAACTTTTCATAGCCTGACATTTTATAGCCTTATTTTTATTGGCGGTAAAATACAAATGTGAATAGTCATACGGTTTCTCCTCAACAGAAACATTCATACTTTAATCAATTGTTAACAAAATGATTTTGAAGCATTATTGATAATCAGAGAATGTGAAATCTGCCTTTTTTCAAAATTTTATGAGATACGACAATTTGCTATTTAATATAATTACTTTTTAGGTAAATATGTCTGACATACGACATTTTGTATACCGCCCCACCCCCTTACAGGTAACAAAAAGTCGTATACCTGGTTTCATTTTCAATTTGTGCCAGTCAAAATGTTGTATCTCCGCTTTTTACAAAAGGCTTTGTTTGTTGTAAGGTCATTATTCTGTTGCACTTGTGTGAAAAACGTAAATCGGTTTTTAGTGTCTCCTGAAAAATTTGTAAAAACCGAGATAAGACATTTTAACTCTTCACCGACGATATGTAAATAATTGTTTTTTTATCCCTCAATAAAGTATTCGACACATGTAATCTGTATGATAACGTGTATATTCATTCTACTACACTAATGACAGCCTGCAGTCTTGTAGTGTATTGCAACAATATCTTATCGCAGTGTCTCAGTGAGTACAGTGTTTGCTCGCAAAAGATACTCTTGATTTTTCAATCTAGCTTTCCCTTGCCCAGGACCTTGTGTGCATCAGGTGCACAGATTAACAAGAAGAAGAAGAGTAGAGGAGTTATCGCTATCATTGCGTTTTCATTAGCCCATAAGGTGCATAAACATTAAACTCATTTCATTTTTTTTCTTCAGTAATATTAGTATTTAATTGAATTATAATATATACAGTATATTTTTATACGCCCGTCGCCCATGTCGGTCCGGCGTCCACAATTGGTTGTGAACGCAATAGAGACCACAATTTTTGTCACATGTTTATAAAATTTGGTGTGTAGGTTCATATCCACAAGATCTCGGACGAGTCGCCAAATATTTTTTGAGTTGCTGCCCTTGATATATAACGAAAATACGTTAAAAGTGGCTTGTGAACGCGATAGAGGCCACAGTTTTTGTCCAATGTTTATAAAATGTAGTGTGTAGGTTTATATCCACAAGATCTCGGACGAGTTCGAATTTGAACACGATTCGACAAATATTTCTGGAGTTACTGCCCTTGATATACCGAAAATACTTTAAAAATGGCTTGTGAACGCAATAGAGACCACAGTTTTTGTCCAATGTTTATAATATTTGGTGTGTAGGTTTATATCCACAAGATCTCGAATCTCAGCACGATTTGACAAATATTTATGGAGTTATTGCCCTTGATATACCGAAAATACGTTAAAAGTGGCTTGTGAACGCGATAGAGACCAAAGTTTTTGTCCGATGTTTATAAAATTTAGTGTGTAGGTTTATATCCACAAGATATCGGATGAGTTCGAATTTGAGCACAATTCGACAAATATTCCAAGAATTACTGCCCTTGATATACCGAAAATACGTTAAGAATGGCTTGGTGTGTAGGTTTATATCCACAAAATCTCGGAAGAGTTCAAATCTGAACATGGTTCGACAATTATTTCCAGAGTTTCTGCCCTTGATATACCGAAATTACGTTAAAAATGGCTTGTGAACACGATAGAGGCAAGAGGGTTTGATAGATTTTTATAAAATTTGGTGTGTAGGTTTATATCTACAAGATCTTGGACGATTCCGAATCTCAATAATATTTTCAGAGTTACTGCCCTTGACTTGTGCACATACAATAATTGTCAAAGATATAAAGCTACCGAGGGCGTATATCGCGTAGGTGACCGCTCTTTCCATCTTGTGATATTTTCTGTATCAACAAAAATATCCAATCTGCCAATGTTAAGTATTGATGTGACATATGGGATTATTTTCTTCAGCCTTGTATAGATACGAAACAAGTTGAAGCGGTGCAAAGAAAAGATGGTGCTCCTGTGATTGCAGTAATCGGTATGTATGATCGCATTCATCTGATTACTTGCGTGCATAAAAGTGGGACCCCATTTCATTTCAACTGATTACTAATGACTCTCACTTTAAGCACATGCTCTCATCAAGCGTGAACTCAAATGGAAACCTTCGACAGAATTCCAGAGAGGGGGTAGTAAGAGGGTCAGAATGCAGGGTTGGTGATTTATTTTATTTATCAATTGTTTACATACATACTTTGGAACTGTTGAAAAATGATATTTTTGCTGCAAAATGTCTCAATTAGTTCAATGATAAATTAGATTTGAATCCGCCAATCTAAATAAATTTATATCTTAATTTCGTTTCGTGTGTTTGGTTTGACTCCATTAAGATTAACGAGAGTTCATGTTCTGGGGTCATGTCAGTCAACCCTGACGTGTGACGTTTCAAAATTTACTGAGCCAATCAGAAGATTGCTCATAAATCGCACTGTTTGTTTTTTCTATTAGTTCTCCAGATGATTTCGTCCCTCAATGAATAAACGAAAATGAACACAAAATACATAATATTTCGTTTTAAATGCACACTTATTTTGGTGTAACTAGAAAAAATTTCATTTGATGTTTGATAAAGCTAATGTCACACCGAAAAGATGATAGCCGACGCGACGCAACTCGACGCTTATGTTGGGGAGAATAGGTTGATGTGAACACTTCTACGACTACGATTTCCAGTTTCCGTCCCGTCGCGAAGATTAAACATGTTTAATATTTGTCGGCCGTCGTCGGGTCCCGTCGGTTGGTGTGAACACTCAGTGCGACCCGACTGGACCAGACAATCTCCACCAGCCAATCAGATGACAGCGTTTTGTCAAGTGCAAATCTAAAATAAACATGGCAAACTTCTGGCACCTCAAAAATGAAGAGAAGCTTGGTTCAATGTGGGAGAGGGAGTACGAAGTAGAAGTGACGTCAATGAAGCTAGGTACTGCTTTTGTGTCAGCTCCATCACATTTCCCGACACTTCCTTCAGTTAGTTCATATCCTGCTCGCCAGGCTGCGCAGCGACACTCACGACTGTCAGTTGGTGAAAGTCGCGGTGGTGTGACCGATGTCGTCGTAGATACTGCGGACTGCTACGATTTTCCTCAACTCATAAAAATGTTGTGTCGGCTATCGTCTTTTCGGTGTGACATTAGCTTAAGATTTAGTGCATCATGCGATGATCCATGTCCGCTGATATTTTTTTCTACTCTAACTACTACTCTTTCTACTTCTACTCCAGCGATGATGTCACTAGAAAATACATATGCTACGAATTCCTCGCCGATTTACGATAACAAAATGCAAAGAATCTTTGAATGCTCAGTATTGCTTACAGATTCGCGTAGAATTGATGATTTTGGACATTGTCCACTTTTCATTGTCAACTTTAGATTAATTATGTTCTGCAAAACGAGATATCTGCCGTATAGAGACTAAGAATCGGGCTAGAGAATTTACTTTTAAATAATTTTAATTAAGTTTGCATAAAGTGGCTTCAGGGTGAAATCACTACTATTTTTTTTTTACAAAACCTGGATCTACAAAATGAAATTTATTTTACTGTACATGCCGGTATGTATCTCTGAAATTCATAGTATGATTTCCATTCCAGGTGATCTCTACAGTCCGGTATTGCATCATGTTGTTCTAGAAAATAAGATAGTTTCTACAGTTGACACAATAGATGATGCTGTAATGATAATGTTCGGTATTTACTATATCTTCAATTTAGAATACCATCCAAAAGCTACTCAAATATTAGAATTCATTCAAAGGTAAGATTTTTGATTTTTCTTTAAAAAATAATAGTATTAACCATTATGTACTACCATCTTGCTTCAGATAGAATATAAAAGATCATGCACAGATTCTGATTATACCCTTGCTTTCACAACTTAGTAGGATGTTAAACCCTTTTTTTTTCATTTCATTTGGTTATACCATGCTCTTACAAAAAAACTTGGGTCATACAAATTTGATAATTGTTCCACTGCAGACTTTTTTGACCCCCAAAATATAAAATAAATTTATTGCCACCACACACTAAAAATTCTACTTTTTTGCATAATTATTCCAATTGCTCAAATTCCAGTTCTTGTATACTGACAAACATTGTAAACTCCTGAAATCCCTAGTCGAGAAATCAAATTTACTGAGTAAAATATGATGATTAGATGTATTGTAATGTGAGAGTTAAACGTGGAATCTGCATGGCTAAAAATAGCATCAATTACTAATCATTATCATCCAGAAGTATGCCTCCCATAACAAAACAACAAGTGGTCTGAGAAGTCAATCATGATATTGTTTAGAGCTCTTATGATTCGGTCGTCCAGCCTCTCGTTTGATTTATTTTCCACTACTAAATCGGTCTGATCCAACTATAGTTGAGATCATCTTGGCAAATTTTATGTGGTAAATGCTTCCAGAAGTAAAATCCCCAGGTACTTTTTTGAAATAAGATGCTCGAGAAACAAATTAATCAACATTGTAAGGCCCTGTACTGGTATGTATCATTCAGAAGTTCTACTTCGATACGAGAGCCACGGTGGCTCAGTGAGTATGTTGGTTGCCAGTGGCGCGGGGCTTGCAAAGTAAACTAGTTGTTAAAGATCCCTAGACAGTTGGAAATCGAAGAAGAGTAGGCGTGTTATCGCTGGCTGTCCTAGTATAATTTTCCTCATTACACACTGCATGGTATATGCCTGTCTTCGTTATAGTCCAGAAGGTGCAGAAAGTAGGACATTAAGCTCCATTCATTTCCATTCTATTTTGGTATGATCAGAGACAAACTTATGGTATGGTACTTTGAGAATCCTAATTTTTGATCATATTTAATTT